CCGGCTCTGGGGCCTGCGACCGCCCTGATGTTCGCAGACGGGGCGGCGGGCGGCGCCGACGTGGAGTCGCTGTGGAGGCGAGACCAGGGCGGCCGCGGCGAGGCGGTGAGAGCCGGGAGGGCCCTAGCTCAGGCACCCGCTCCTTGTCGCTTCGTAGCAGGGGGCTCCGGCCAGCCCCCTGCGTTGGGCAGAAGCCTTTACCTGCCGCCTGCTTTTGCCTCCGTGGCTGGATTTAAAGTGTCCCGGGAGGGTTTCTTTCTCTGAAAGATGCGTCCCGGCCTCCGAGCAGGGGCCCGGGTTGCTGCGGTGGGGCTGGTCTCTCCGACCGCAGCGACGTGCTGGGCCCAGGAAAGCTTTGGGGACCGTAGTTTCTCCTTCAGGTCATCGGAGACCGGAGGAAGAACGTCTCGCCTTCGCAAGCTTGTCTGGCATCATCCTCGCTGCAGGGCTGGTCCGAGAAAAGGGATCGGTTTAGAAAAGAGACACCTGAGCGGGGGATGTGATCATCAGGGTTTCCAAAATACCAACCAGCAAAGAGAAAGCCCTCAGGGATTTGTTATCAGCTGTCTCCCAGATGATGAGAAGAGGGGTCACAGCGGCGGCACCTTTTCAGGCGGCGCGTCGTTGAACAGTGGCACCGCCAGAGGTGGCGGATGCTGACTGTTTAGCTAGATTCAAAAAGGACTTGGATACATTATTGGAGGAAAGGGGCATCGGTAGCTACTGAGCACTGGAGGGGGGGGAGCCATGGCCTTTGAATGAAAACTTCCTAGACCTGAAATGTTGGAGGCTGCGAGGTATCCGGGTTGTAGCCGTATTGGCCCTGGGGACGAGGAACCGGATCCAGGCTGACCTCGACAGGTTGGGGAAGTGGGCAGGGAGCAACAGGAGGCAATTCAATGAGGACAAGTGCAAGGTGCTGCATCTAGGGAGAAAAAACTGCCATCATACTGATAGGCTGGGGTGCGACCTTCTCAGCACCGCTGAGGCAGAAAGAGATCGTGGAGTCACCGTTGACTCCAGGATGAACATGAGTCGTCAGTACAATGAAGTAGTTGTCAGAGTCAGTTGCACCTTGTCGTGCATCCCTAGGTGCTTCACAAACGGGTCCAGGGAGGTGATTCTCCCTGTCTACGTGGCACTGGTCAGACCGCAGCTGGAGTACTGTGTCCAGTTCTGGACGCCGCAGTTCAAGCGGGATGCGGACAACCTGGAGGGGTCCAAAGAAGAGACACTCCTCTGATTGAAGGCCTGCAGGGAAGGCCCTACAAGGAAAGGCTTAGGGACCTTAACCTTTTCAGCCTCTCCAAGAGAAGGTTGAGAGGGGATCTTTTGGCGGCGTACAAATTCATAAAGGGGAGAGCAACACGAAGTAGGCGATGATCTGTTTACCAGGGCACCCCCTGGAACAACAAGGAACAGTGGCCATAAGCTACTGGAGACTAGGTTTAGACTGGACATTAGAAAAACGTTCTTCACAGTCAGGGTTGCCAGGATCTGGAATGGGTTTCCAAGGGAGCTGGTGCTCGCCCCATCCTTGGGGGTCTTCAAGAGGAGACTGGACAGGCACCTGGCTGGGATCACGATCCCAGGTTTGGTGACCCTTTTCTTGCCTGCCAGGGGCAGGGGGTCGGACTAGATGGCCCACTGAGGTCCCTTCTGACCCTAGAATCTATTAATTTATGGTCCGGAGGCAAAAGGAATCCAAACTCGTGGCAGAGGTGATATCTTTTATTAGATCAACTAGATATTTACAACAACAAAATCTTTATTTGCAAGTTTTCAGGCACAGGTGCCTTTTTCCAACTTTTCTCTGAGCCTAATCTGCACACAATGAACTGTTCCAAATACCTTCAGTTCGCCTGTGAAATATGAATTTTAATTTCTGCCTAGGAGAACTTTTACAATCTTTGCAATCTCCTATGCGGGATGAAGGGAAGCTGCAAGGGAGAGAGGAACAGTGGAAACGATCCTGGTCAGACCCAGTTCTTTCCCCTTTGAGCACCCGTTCTCTGCCAGTGTGAGAGACAGGATACTGGGCAAGATGGACCTATGGACTGAGGGTGGTATTTTGGAAACCCTGTACAAATCCCTGAGGACTTTCTCTTTGCCAGTTGGTAGTTTGGAAACCCTGTAAATGGCAGTTCTTAAGCACCCGGAGAAATCCTGGCCTCACATCATTTCTGGACCATCATGGCTACCACATAACTCTTATGCTACTGTAACCTGGAAGATTGCTGAGTTGGGGCAAACAGTTTGAGGACTGCTCTGTTTGACCATGAGGTGCTGAGTTAGAGCTACCACAGTTGTGTTTTTCAAGGTTTTTGCTGAATTTGAGCTTGTGGGAACTTGCGCATGCATTTGGATCAGATGGTCCATGTCTCTCATGCATTAGTGATGGTAGTAAACAATCTGTGCTATCAACCCTATTGGTCTGGGGAAAATCGTGAATTAAGCAATTTCTTATTGTCTGAGACTAAAACCATGTTGCTTCCATTACAGGTACAGGGACCCAGTAGAGGCTTGCATAGGGTATGTCTATATGAAGACTGTGGAGTAGTATAAAAATACTTGTGCTCACAGTCTAGCCATGGCAGTGCCAGGCTCCATGTGGATGCCTGAGGTGGGTTTAATATAACCTGTACTGAGTTTGCTGCCTCAACTAGAGTACAGCCAATACCTGAGCCATCTCATTTAAAGTTAGCTCAGCTGCCTCAGCACTGCACTGCACTGCAAAGTTAACCTGTCCTATCACTAAATGAACAATTCACTATTTTCCCTGTTCTGAAACCTGGTCCCCTTTTGGGTGAGAACCGTTTTCAGATTCAGGACTCCACATTACATATAACCCAGCCAGTTTGCCAGGAAGCAGAGGCCAGGGCACATTTGAGTTTACAGATTAAGCAACAAGAGGGAAGGTGTCTCAAATGAATCCATCTCTGCACCCTTTGCATGTGTTTGGATTGTAGACTTTTGTTGTTCTTTTACCAGAAAAGCTGCCAGACTGGGGAGATCTCAACAGTGGAGGCTGCGGTACAGTCCCATTCGAGCAGAGATGCTGGCATACAGACTGATCAAAGCCAGGAGGCTGTCCAAGACTTTAATCTCTGTCACAGAGCCCCTGTGGATTATGCTGGTCTGCTCTCATTCCTGCAGAGAGTGGAAGAAGATGTTATCAAAGAACTAAATAAAAATTGGAGAAGCCATGCCTTTGATGGCTTTGAGGTGAACTGGACTGATCAGAATGAAACGGTAAGATGGCAGATTTCAGAGCAATGTGACCATCCCTGATAGTGCTGACTTCACCAGCTGTGGAATAGTTAGTTCCATTACCTGGTGCAGGGATTGTTCTTGGTTCGAAAGTAGTGTTCTTTTTCTTTACATTTCCTTTTGCCCTCTTGCCAGCTTTGCCAGGGACCTTGTTCTTCCTACCTGTAACAACACATGAAACTAGCCTCACCAAAAGAAAGCCTGCAACTGGAGCCAGCTGGTCCCCTCCCTCGGTTATGAGCGTAGTCCTAAAATCTCTGCTTACTTGGCTCTTCCTGCTGTAATGCTGATGGTTTGCCATATTAAGAGTTCTGTGCCAGCAACTTTGAGTCAGTGCAGTTTGGCAGTATTTACTGAAAGAAATGTATAATGGGCAAAATGAGGGCAACCTTTGGGCATGCAACTCCCTGCTTCCAAACAAGGATTTGAAGGCAAAATCTAGATGCTGGACCCTCAGAATTAGGGAAGGGAGGGGTTGCTATATATCTTCCAGTTTTGCTCTAAAAGCAGTCGCTCCATGGTGAGATGAAGTTATGGAGAGACAGTTGCTTTGGTGGGATGGCTGAAAGTGTTGCATGTAATGTTTTAATAGATATTAAGCTTCTCTTTTACATGTATTTACAAGCCACAGTTTGTGTTACTTAAGACTGCTGATGTGAAGACAGTGGGAACATGGGGCCTGCCCAGGGTATCATTCTTATGCCAGTCTTTGAATACAGGTGCTAATTCTCTGTGTGCTTTTAGGTTGTTAGCTCAGCATTTGAATCTGATCTCTTCCAGGTTTCATGTTTGTACAGCCTGTCATACCCAGAGGCTCAGGATCAGAAACTGCAGGTCACCAGCATCTCCTGGAATGCCACGGGATCCGTTGTTGCCTGTTCATATGGACGGTGTGTACTTTAATTAAGAACACAACTGAATATCTTGGCATGACACAGGCTGGCCCCCTGTTCTGCAGTGTGAGAGAACGTTCACTTCTCTTTATAATAGCTAACTAAGTGTAAATGCACCTTATTCACCTCGTAGAATGTTTCATGGATATTCAGAGAAATGAGAATAACACAGCAGCATCTGTTTAGGTCAAATATCCTCTTCTTTCACCTCGCCCACAATCCCCAAACTGCAGTCTCAGAGACTTGTTCCTAAGCAGATGCTGCTAAAAAATGTGAAGAGTGGATGTGTGCCTGGGTGGGTGGGTGGGTGGGCTGGGGTTGGAATGGATGAGCCTACTGTCATTGCACGTGGCAGTAACTGCTCTGCAAAAGAGAGTTGCATGTCAACAAACACAATACTTTCAATACCTGAAAAGCAGAAGGGAAGCAAGTGTTGTTTCTTTTAAAAGTTTTATTTAATTTCACCTTGAAAATTTACAAGACGTCTCATCACAACAGCAGCTTAATAACAGCAAGAAGATATATGAATAATACTAGATGTATGTCTTGTGAATGGAGGTCTGTGGCATAACTCATGCCAAATGTTATCTGCTCCACTTGGAGCTGCAGCTGGAGTTGAAGCAGACTTCATGTGTAAAGGGCCAGAGTAAAGTGGGTAAAAAGCATCTATCACATGGCTGAAAAACAAGTGTCTCATTTTTGTCAGCAGGTGGGGGAGACTGTTCTGCTTTCCTGTCAGAACCCTGAGGATGCCATCCCCACTCTTGCCAGCCAGGCTCCGCTCCGTGGCACTGTGCTCTGACAAAGTAACACTTTCTTTAGTGCCTATTAATTCTTCTTAGTTGGCTGCAGTAGTTGCTGCTGGGCAACTTCCCTGCAGCGTCTCAAACCGCTGACCTCCTTCGGGTACTGGTTGGAATGAAATGTCGCTGCTGGCCCCTCAGTCTCTCTGAGGAACAGCTGATTCTGGTCACTGAAAGAAAAAAAGTGTTTGCTCCTTGATCTTGGCTCATGACGATGCCTGATGATTTTCCCCCAAAGTCAATTCCAGATTTGTTTCCATTTGAGTCCAGGTAAAAGTCCCTGTAATAATGAGTCACATCAAACATCTGCTTTTGAAAGACTCCCCTTCTACCAGAGTGCCCCAGTATGTACTGGAAAATTGTACTGGCAAATTGTCCACACAGATATTCAAGCCTTTCACAGCCACAGAGAGCACATATTTAACTAGATAATGAGAATCTAGCTGGAACTCTCCTGAACTGATGGTCTTTGTGTAATACCTGGCATGACATAGCTTCCATTTTGCCTTTTTTCCTTTTTCAGATTAGATGATGGGGACTGGAGCACACAAAAGTCCTACGTATGTACCTGGAACCTGGACCGAAGAGGGCTAAATCCACAGCATCCTGATCTAGTAGTGGATGTTCCCAGTTCTGTCATGTGCCTGGCTTTCCATCCCTCCGAGCCTTCGCTCATTGCTGGTAGGCTGCTTTTCATTTAGAGTTTAGTATAATTGTTCCCTTGTCTCCTTCAGCTAGTACTGTTGATTTTTCTCTTCAGTGCAAGCTGGGAATGACAGGCAGCTTCTCAGCCAAGGGAATTGCTGCTGCCACGTATATGGTTGCTCTCTTTGCTCCTAGAGGCTGGGAATCGGGACCTCTCATTATCTTTATGGATATTGCTTGCTTCTACCACCTTTTAGAGCACCTAGACATTGCTGCCTAGAGAGGAGGGAGCCTGGGAGATAGAAAATAAGGTCAGCCTTGATATCAGTGGGAACAGTGGTGTTTGCTACAGCATCCTCTTTTAACAGTGCTGAATGTGCCTCCCATGTGGTTACCATTCCATTGAAGTCAGCAGCATTGCGCTTGCTTATGAGATTTAAATATACTTTTCATGACACTTATGCAGAGCGGCTCACCCCAGAATCCCATGCCTAATAAACAGTGCTCTTAGACAGTGAGAGTGCCACAAAGAGACAACCTGTTTCAGCAACCTGCCTATGCCACTACTTTTGCCATCCATTAGTGGATCTCACTTATGTTGATGCTTTGGTCTTTTACAGGGGGCCTTTTCAGTGGGGAGGTTGTGGTGTGGGACACGAGTAGGATAGAAGATCCTTTGATTTGGAGAACAGGGATGACCGATGACACTCACACAGACCCAGTCTATCAGGTAAAAAAAAAATCCACAGCTGGGTGCAAAGGGGCTGGGGTTTCACCAGCTGGGTTTCACCAGGGGCTGGGGAAAAGAGGAGCCATTATTTTGATACTTCATCCCTGTGTTTCCTGTACGTTTTGATGGCACCCGGTAAAAAAGTGCATGTTTGAGCAGTTGAGCTTCCCAAAAACAAAGATCCTACAATGCTACTCTAAGTGGCCCCCAGACTTTGAAGCCACTACCTACCTATAGATTCATAGATTGTCAGGGGCTGGAAGGGACCTTGCAGATCATCGGATCCAACCACACCTGCTTTAGGCAGGAAGACAACTGGGATTAGGTGACTGTCTAGTCTCCTCTTGAAGACCACCAGGGTAGGTGGCTGCACCACCTCTGGAGGGAGTTTATTCTACAGTCTGGACACCCTGACTGAAGGAGTTTTTCCTGGTATTAAGCCTGAAGTGGCCTTCCAGGAGTTTATATCCATTGGTCCTGGTCTTCCCCAGGGGTGCCCTAGTAAACAGTTGCTCACCGAGCTCCTGATGCACTCCTCTGATATAGCAGTAAGTTGCTATCAAGTCCCTTTTCAACCTTTTTTTCTTTAAGCTAAAGAGGCCTAGGTCCCTCAGCTTTTCCTTGTATGGCTTGCCTTGCAAGTCCCTGATAATACAGGTGGCTTTTTTCTGGACCCTCAAGTTTTTCCACATCCTTATTGAAGCGCGGTGCCCAGAACTGGACACAGTACTTCAACTGCGGTCTCACCAGTGCTGCAGGAATATCACCTTCCTTAGTTTGACACGAGATGCATCGGTTGATGCATGCCAGCATGTTATTTGCCCTGCTGACCAGTGCCTCGCACTGATGGCTCATATTCATATGATGGACAGTTGTTACCCCTAGGTTCCTTTTGGCTGTGGTGCAAGTCAAGCTGTCATCACTGAGCCTTTTGTCCCCAGATAGAGCACCTTACACTTGGAAGTGTTAAATCTCATCTGGTTTTGGTCTGCCCAACTCTTGAGGCTGTTCAGGTCCACCGGTATCTGCAACCTATCTTCTGATGTGACCACACTGCCCCATAACTTGGTATTGTCCGCAAACTTGGACAGCAAGCTTTTCACTCCCCCATCCAGATCATTGATAAAGATGTTGAAAAGCACTGGTCCAAGCACAGACCCCTGAGGGACACCACTGGCCACTTTGTGCCAGGATGACACAGATCTGTTCATGAGAACTCTCTGGTCCCTACCCTGTAGCCAGTTTCCTACTCGCTGAACTGTCGAGTAGCTGAGCCCACAATCTTTCAGTTTTCCCACAAGGATATTGTGGGATACTAGATCAAAAAGCCTTTTGGAAGTCTAGGTATATAGTGTCTACGTTGTCTCCATGTCCAGGTGGCGAGACACCTGGTTGTAGAAGGAGATGAAATTGGTAAGACAAGACTTACCCGTGACAAAACCCTGTTGGCTGTCATTCAGAATCTTACCCGCTGCGAGCGTATCACATGTAGATTCTTCAGTGAGCTTTTTCAGGATTCTCCCTGGGATGGTGATTGGCCCATAGTTGCCTGGGTCCTTCCTCTTCCCCTTCTTGAAGATGGGCACAATGTTGGCCCTCTTCCAATCCTCAGGGATCTCCCCTGTGCACCACAAATTCTGAAAGAGCTTTGCCAGGGGTTCCCTGATGACCTCAGCCAGCACCTTCAGCACTCTCAGAGGAAGTCCATCCAGTCCCACTGACTTATACTTATACTAGCTTTTCTAGTTGGTATTGCACCCGCTCAGCATCCACAGTAGTGAGGCTGTCAGTCCCAGCATGTCCCCTATGAGCCTTTTCTCACTTGACTTTCCCCTTGGGCATTCAGGAGTTAATTTTTTTCCTGACTGTCGGTTACGGGCTGTACTGAGGTGTTAAAGCAGGGGTCCCACACTTCCATTTGTTTTCTTTCTACTGCCTGCATGCCTAAAGAAGGACTTATTGTTCTTGACTCCCATGGCTAACCTAAACTCAGTCACCACCTTGGCTTACCTGATCATTTCCCTTGGCCATTGTTGTATAGTCCTCCTTGAGAACCATCCCTAGCTTCATAGTTAACTTTGCAATAAAAACAGGTTTACCTTGTGGACTAACTGAGTAGCATCACTCTGCTGTCTCCATGATTGCCTAGGTCTGTATAGAACTAGCAGTGTTTTTTGTATTTGATTTTCATTAGAAGTGGGGGGCAGACATTGAACATTAGCTGACAGCTGAAGGCTACAGATGGGGCTTGTCTAAACAAGACATTTACTGTGGAGTTGCCCAATTAGCTCCACAGTAAACATCTCTGCATCTACATGTGTGGCCCTATTAGGCAGCAGGAAACAAGTATTATTCTGATGCAGTTTTTTTGTGCATAGCACTGCATGTGTAGACACTGACCTGGCTGGCTGGGACACATGCGTGCTTCAGTGCCAGAGCTTCCTGCCAACCAGAACTGCTCCGACTCTGTGCTGCAGTCCCAGGTGCATGTTCAAATAGCATGCCCAGGAGCAATAAATCCTGGCACAGCATGCATTGGAGTTTATTGCTTCAAATTAATTGCATGCGTAGATATGCCCAGGATGTCCCATTACAGTCATGCAGTCTGGCTTCGCTGCTTGATAGATTGAGAAGCTTCCATACTGGCACTACAGGCTCCTATACACGTGCACATCAGAACAGCCTCCTTGCTGCAATTCCAGTGCGTCAGAGCATGCCGATACCCATGACGCTCCAGGCGCTTGTAATTAGCACAGCTCTTAGAGCTGGCTCTTGCTGCCTCTGGCCCCATATTCTTTAAGCTAGTGTTCATCTGCAGGAGCACTAGCTGTTCACAGGTCTAAGTTACTTCTTGAAAATCAGAAATTTTTTGTGTTAGAGTAGTTCCCTTACTGCTTCCTCTGTCATCACAATTTTAGTAACGAGCTAGAATTTGTTTTGAAGAAAATCAGTGCTGCTAGCTTGAGTAAAAGGCAATATGAATAGCTTTATCTGGACACAAGTTTTAGTGCTTTATCAATGTCACAAAAGCCAACCAGTGACCTGTATGATGCTGGATGGAACTGCAAAGGCTGAGCTGTAACCGGCTGCCCCATGTGAAGTAATTCGCCTAATAGCAGCCCACCTCTGTGTACACTCTGAAAAGGGGCGGGCTTGATAGCAGGCTTGCCCAATGCCATCTGCTCTGTGGGAGGGGAATGCAGGGCTGCTGCCCCCATGCTTAGTGAGCTCTGATAAGACCTTTCCTTATGGATGTCTCCTGCTTGGAACAGGTTGAGTGGATGCAGGACTTGAAGCACAGCCACCACTTCCAGGTTCTGAGCATCTCCACAGATGGCAAGGTCCTCGTGTGGCAGACTGAGAGAGACGGTCGGCTGACCTTGGCTGAAGGATTTGCTTTAGTTGCTCAGCAGGTCCCTCGCAGTGCCAACCTGAAAAAGGTTCGTTCAGCAATTCTAGAAAAAATACAGCTGCTACAAGGTCTTAATTAGAATAGCTTAGGCTTTTGAGAACAGTCAGGGAGCTGTACGTTTCCATTTGGTGCAAGAGAGAGCAGAGTGCAGCCCCCCATGAATGTTCTCAGTAGACTCTCTGACCCTTTCCCATTCCCCTTCCTAAGAAGACTGGCCATGTAGGGACTCCGGATGCAGCTGACTTGCTCTTAGGGTTAAGTCCTCCATCCTACTGAACCTGAATAACTTTGCTCTGAATGTAACAGTTAGTGCAGGTTGAGTAGCAAGCAGCTAGTTTAGTTTTTAGCAAACTCTGATTGAAGTCAGTTTTTGATGCAGGTAAGAATTCAGTGAGTCTGTATCTCAGGGCTGCTTCGTTTCCTTTCCCCCAGCCTATGCGAGGAGAGACAGCTGTAGGGGTGACTTCGCTTTCCTTCTCCCGCTTTGATCCCACTGTGTTTGTCATTGGTGTGGAAGGCGGATACTCCCTGAAGTGCAGCACTGCAGTAGAGACTGCAGCTCTCCCTAGGATGGGCAGCTCTGTTCCCCTCAAGGCACCAGCACAGTTTGCCTTCTCCCCTCATGGTGGACCAGTATACTGTGTAAGCTGCTCACCTTTCCACAGGCAAGTAGTGTGCTGTTCGCACTGATGTCAAGTTACAGGCAGAATACTGTGTGTCCAGTTGTGGTATTCTCAGAGTTGTGGGGATGGGGGATCGGGCCAGGTGCTCAGTTGTGTCTTTCACTTTCACATTTACCAAATTGCATACGACCTGTGTGGACCCAACACCATTGAAGCCAATAGCACTGTTCGCACTTAGCTTTAAAACAATTCTGGGAAAAGCTCTGGGGTAAGCGCAATTCCAGGGCAAGAGAGATGCTAAAGGGGGGACAACCTGCTTTATCATTGAAAGCAAACTGTGCCCATGACTGTTTAGCAACCATCTGATCTTACCTTTGGAAGTTCACACACATGCACTATCTAGTTTTATAATGGAAGTGCCCCCAAGCAGTCTTCTCAAAACATTCTGGCAGCTTGGTTGTGGTCTACTTTGCCTGGGATCAATTAGACTATTTTTAGCTCCTTAACACAGGGTCTGTGTCCAAGGCTTCACTTGGCTGCAGCCCACAATGTGCATTTGGAAACAGGCAAGATATTAGTAAATGTGGAAATCTGCATAAAAGCAAATAATTCAGGCTGTTCAGTTAAGATCAAAGACTTTACATGGAATAGTTATAGTGGTAGTGTTACTTTGCTTCTCAGGCTGCTTACATAAACTCTACTCTAAGTAATGGTCTTACTTACAGGAATCTGTTTCTGAGCAGTGGGACTGATGGACATGTTCACTTGCATTCCATGCTGCAAGCACAGCCACTTGTTTCTCTTCAGTTATCAAAGAAATACCTCTTCAGTGTGAGCTGGTCTCCAATTCGACCTCTGGTCTTCGCAGCTGCATCTGGGGAAGGTAAGTAACTTGCTAGCTGCTTTGAAGAAGAATTCAAGTTCTATCATGGGTATTGTACTGTCTGGCACTGGTAAGATGCAAAAAGCTCGCTGCCTAGCACTTCCCAGAAGTGCTGTAGTTGCTTGAATAATACCCATGTGTGGATGAAACTCCATTGAAACCACTAGCATTGTTCTCACTTACCCGAGTTCTTCCCAGAATTGTGTTAATATTAAATAGCAACTCTGAGGACAAGGGACATACTGAAGGGAAGGGAACCCATTTCATTATTACTAACTAAATAAAGTGTGCCCATTTCCTCAGCTGTTTGCTTGACTTCTACAACATCTAAAGCTGTCACTTAGTATGACACAGGTTTTCAGCTCTAGTGGGGCTTGAGGTAGCAATTGATTGTGTCAGCTTTGATACTGTCATGTCTTTTCCATTGCCAACATCTGTCTGTCTGCTTGTGTGTGGATGCAGACACTTTGTTGGGGGAAGGAGGATGACTCAAACCACTTGCAGTTTTCACAATTGCCACATTTACTTAACTCTTAGAAATGTGGACAACACTGTACAAGAACGTAAGGGTAGCTCTTCGTAGATGGGATTGCAGAACAATTCCTGCCAGTGGTTTCAGTGTGCCCTGACATGCTAGTGAGATCCTACAGCTACTCACTGTAGCACTAACCAGTCTAGATCCAGTAGGGGGTAAAGGAGAGGATATTTATCCATAACTCCCTAGAAGTGACAAACTAGAAGGAAAGCCTGAACCAAGTAAGTGGAGCTCCCAGTCAAATGTTTAACCCAAGCCATAGTCAGTAAACTATTACACAGGTAATGCAAAGACCATGATGTAAAGCTTAATGTGGACTTTTTATTTTAAAGGGGAAGTGCAACTGTTTGATTTTGGCAAGAGCTCCCAGAAGCCTGCAGTTTCCATTAAGCAGACTTCAGATCAGAGTCCTGTCTACTGTATAGAGTTCAACATCAAGCAAACTCAGCTTCTGGCAGCAGGGGATGCCACTGGCACGGTGAAAATATGGCAGCTGAGTTCTGAATTCACTGAGCAGGGACCTCGAGAAATGAATCAACTTGAGCAGCTAGCAAATGAGGTCACTGACTGAGAGTAATGGGCCAGGTTTACGTCTGAACCTTGTTACTTAAGATGAATGAAGGATAAATTAGTTTTAATGAGCAGAGGAAAAAAGATATTTAAAGCAAGTGTGATTTAAGTGTGTTCTAAAGACCCAAGTGACCAGTCCAACTATTTGAAGCCCCATAAATGAGTCCTGCATTTTGCCTGAATAATACTTAGCCATTAAAGATGAGATAAAATATTTTCTCCAGTTTGGACCAGTAACTTTTATTGAAGCACACTGCAATACTTGTTTTTTCCTAAGGGGTTTAAGCTAAGCAGTTTAAAGGTTACATCATAAAGTAACATTGATTATTGGAGAGAGAGCACAAAGAGACGCATGCAGAGCTATAGTCAGCAAACGCGAGCACGTTCTTTGCATCTTTTAGTGCTAGTGCTTTGTATCAATTCACAAAGAGTGAACGTGTAAATTCTATGTAGTCATAAGCAGAAGGAAGTTCTCTGCCCTTGCTGTCCATGTAGGGCTTCATGTGAGAGATACAGTAATCTGCTTGTTCCCGAGTCAGGTTCTGAAAGACAAATACCAAGTTACGCTGGGACAGACATTCTCTGCACTGGAAAAGGTCTTACAAACTATCTTATTCTCTGGAAAGGGAAGGTCACTGGCATGAAAAGGCCAGAGTCAGAGGTAGGACTGGAATTCATGAGTTTCTGGCTCCCTGGCCTCTTCTCTCACAGTTCAGTTTGGGACAGCAGGGCTGTAGTTTGTCTTTTGTCTCCCCATGGGAGACACAAATAGACAGCTGATCTGAGAAGGGGAGAGGGAAGCTGCCTTTTAGTAGTGAGGATTCAGACTGGAAAATTTGGGACCTTTCCACCTGACTTAAGGTAGTTCTTTTGGGTTTAAAGTTCACGTTTAACAATGCACTGGACTGGGAAACCTCTTCCTTGTTCTACGGAGTCGAGATGTTGAAAACCTCTCAGCTTGACTTGAGATAAATCAGATTTTGGGGTTGAAACAATGTTTAACATTTCAAAAAAACCTCTCCAAAACATCTCTGACTTTCCAGGAAGAGATGCAGCCCCAGCATGCAGGACTGGGGGTGAGAAATCCTATTTCTGCCTCAAGAAACCAACTGTCTCTTTGGGTGCTCCATATAATGCCCAAAAGCACTTTTTGTGCAGTGTAGAATGTTTTGGCTCCTTTGTCCCTGCCCTCCCCACACCCCGTACCATCCATTCTAACTTCCCCTCTCCCCTTCTGTACCTTCAGGAAAGCCCTACCAAATCCAAGGGGATGTTGTAGCATGGGCAGGCATGCTTCTGCTAGCTCTATTTGTCTAGCACAGATAGCAGCAGCAGTAGTAGAAACATTATAGCAGCCTTCCATATGGGTTAGTAAAGAACTCTGGTTGCTAGCCCATGCCAGCATATCCTTACTGGTATTGTTCTGTATGTAGACATACTTTAAAGGATTTAAAATGGGCTTCTTAAATGATAAAGTAATTATCCAGCTGCCCATGGAGGATCAGACACTTATAACAACCTTATAAACTCAGTCCGTGCATGGCAGGTAGAAATTGTGCTGCATTAATGAACTCTTACCTTTCCCCAGTGGCATGGGGACGTACCTACAGCACAGAAACTAGTAGAGATTGCTTGAGCTGACAAGTTTTTCAGTGCTGACTGGATTACAGAGACATGAATCTTTAACTACAGCCAGTTCCCATTAAAGAAAGGTTGGGGACTATTCTGTGCCATACAAACTTACTTGGTAGAGCTCCTCCTTGGTCACATAGGGTTTGCCCTCCGAGCTAAGGGCACGGAAAGCGCTTTCTATTTCCTCGCTGGATTTAACATTTTCAGTTTCTCGGCTGATCATAAATGCCATGTACTCCTGCAGTGAGACATGCCCGTCCCTGCAAAGAAACAAGCAGCTTGTGAAGTACCCTGTACTGCCCAGAGAGCAGTGCCTCCAAGCACACAGGTCTGGCAGCAGATTTATCTCGTCTAGCTCCCAACTGTTTTAACTAAGATGGTAAAGGACACTATTTCCGGAAGTCCTCAAGGTGGTTAATGGCACTGGACCTGCACTGGAAGGTTCTATGTACAATTTCTTTACGTGTCAACCCTGAGTTCAAGGAAAACCTTTTAAAAAGGGACAACTCTCTCAAGAATACAGAGAGGCTGCAGCAACAGGCAAAGACTTCAGTCCCAGCTCGAGGACAGAACTTTGAGTATTAAAAGTCTTGGCTTGCATACCTGTTTGGATCCACAGTGTCAAGAATAGATTCGAATTCTGGGTCTGGTTCCCCTTCCTCAACCATAGGCAGGTCATAGCCTAGAGAACGCAAGCAGGATTTGAACTCCTGGTGATTGAGTCGACCAGATTTATCCTTGTCGAAGTGTCTACAATGGAAAATAAGAGTTGAAACTTTGTCATTAGGGTAAACTGGTTAAAAGCCATATGATGAACTGAGAACCGTAGCAAACTGATTTGGTCCTATATTGCAGACCTGCTATTGTTGTGTTGCAACACAGATAGAGCCAGATTCTCTGGGCTGGTTCAGAGGCATCAAGCCTCTTGGTGATGGTGAATTCCCCTGACATAGCTTGCTCCTGTATCACCACAATCACAGTCCAGTGTAGAGGGTTTAATCAGCGCAAGCTGTATTCTAGCTTTTCAGTTAGTGGATGGTCTTGGAGAAGACCATCTAGCAGAGTTTAGAGAAACTCAAAATAGGACTGGACACCCATGAGTGAGTTAAGAGGCTGCAAATGGTGGAGAACCTCAACCATGAGCCCTGCTGTGTGGGGTTCATTTACATGCCAAGACTCTAAAGAACTTCCTCTTTGAGCATTTTTCCAGGTTACTGAGGATATGCACACTCACTTGAACATCATGCTGAACTCCTTCAGGGCCTCTTCAGTGACTCCAGTTGTGTTTCTGGAAAGGAAGAAGTAGACCTAGTAAACTCTTACTGTTGCATAGTTTCATGAGTCATTAAGTCACAAGACCAGTATCATCTCAAGCTGATGGCCTTGTCTTCATCCCTTATGACAGACACTCAAAATACACCTGGTTTAGCATAATTCTTCAGAAAACGTCCTTTAATTGAAAACGCACTACAGTTAAGTCATGGAAGTGTGATTTCTCAAACTACATGCACACAAAACACTGGGGGGTTATTGTGCCTGACCTGTGGTTAATCCTTCTTTGCCTTTTAGATAGCCTCTATTTCAGCCTTTATCCCTTGAAAAATATTTGGACTCCCTAAAAGCATGAAGGCTGTACCTAGCTTGTATCTGCTGTTCCAGGTTGTGTTGCATTCTCATCCCTAGCTGGTCAAGTTGGTCCCACTGCTGTGCCAGCCCTACAGTGCTGTGTTCTGTGTATTTATTATCCAAGATCAGTGCCTCTTCCATGGCTGCTCCAAGGTCCTCAATTTTCTTCAGCTGACTCCTCATTGCCCGGATCTCTTGGTGCTTCCGCTAGACGGAAAGAAGAGAGTTGATTTAGCATTCTGACATTCAAACTGACCAAATCATCACCCTGTCACTGAGGGGAAAGCTCTCGCACACATGTTGTTTACTGTTATAAGTCCCAGTAAGGGTGCCCAAGCAGGTTTCACTACATGTCTGTAGTGGATTTGCAAGGCAATACAGAGTTTCAAGTAAGGCTTTCCTTGGTGTGTGTTACTATTAAAAATGTTGGAACATTTGCAACCTGATTTTCTAAATGAAGGGCAGATTCCAGCAGGGAAAGGCACTGTTTCCTCTGCCTCACCACGCTTAGTTATTTTACAAATATTCAACCAAAAAGAAAATCAGGATTCTTCATGGTCTGTATATACACGTGGTCAGATTATCTTATCCCAACCATCTCTGTTGGGAGTCAAAGTCTTGTAACGACTTACCTACTGATTGTTAACAGTGCTCCAGCCAGCCCCTGCTTTCCTGAACGGCAGCTTAGGAACAGATGAGGCATGCTTACCTTAGTAGCTTCCAGCTGTGATTCCAGGGTCCCAGACTCCTCCACCATACAAGACCTAAATAAAATATCACAGTGAGGGAGAGCATATACCACATAAGACAAAGGGCAGGTGGGGCTCGAAATTAACACCATTCTTTTAAATCAAAAGTATTTTTCCACAAACTTTATTATAAAGCCATGTTCTTTTGTCAGTCTCCTGCCAAAATGCTTCTAAGTTCAGACTGACATTACGTAAAAGAGGCTTCTGCAACTTGCAGCATGTCGTTTCTTAACATAGTTAATTTCAAGCCCCATTTTGAAGGCAACGTAATACAGAGCCAGAGTAAACACTTCATGCCAAACCCAAAGCACCCACCTTTTTATTGGACCTAGTGCAATTAGACACTTAGTGCAACCTCACCCCACAACTGTGCCCAACACACACAAACTACAAGTGATTCATTGGAGATTAGCTCTGTTTGTCAATGAAAGACAGGAGCTCTAGGGAGGCTTTCCACAGCAAGCGTGAAAAAGCCACACTTAAAAACTACTGGCTTGATTTAAAGCTAATCTTGAGATGGCACAATCACCCCAGTCAGGCTGAAAAACTCTACTATGCATCAATGGCTAGTTGAATGTTGCTTTCCATGTTCTCACAATATGACACCCCCCCATAGCTCTCTCCACAGATGAATACTTTTACCGTCTCAACAGTGTGCACACACACTGAGGCACTGCTACTTAAAAACTTTGGTTTGAAATAGGTAATAGTTATCCCTGTAAATCAGTTTTTAAAGTTCTACACTGAGAGGCACTCTCAGCCTATGAACAAAGGACCCCCAACACTGTTTCGCGTGATTGTCTCCAAGACTTATTTCACACCTACGAGGTGCATAAAGTTTCTGAAGTTGCTTTTGTTTCTTTGATTCTAAGCAGTGTTTAGGCAGCAGTTTTTTAGAGCCTCTGTCCAGTAACACGTGGTGAAAGTTCACAACAGACAACCTGTGTACAAACAGCATTTTGGATCCTGTGCAGAAGGGTTCAATTGTGTTTGTGCCCCTGTGGGATTTATGTTCTGCTGCCAAGAGGTCTCCCCTCATTCCCACCAAGCCCTGCTGGTCCAAACACCAGGTGGTTGGCTCTAGAACTTCTTGAGAGGGGTTTCAAGTGCTGAATCACTCTGTAGCAACAACAATGCACCAAACATCTGGTTCTCTTTCACCAGAGGGTTAAGGCTCACAACCAATGCGTGTGTAAAGAGAATGAAGCGCATACCCACGCTCTTGGGCAAGAAGCTGTGAACCAACCGTGGAAAAGGAACACAAGTCAACAAACCCCCAAGCATCTCACAGCAGTGAAAGTTAGTTGGAAAGAAAGCGAGTCTTTGGAATTAAGGGTGCACTTTAAAACCATAGTGAAGTAAGAAAATAAGAGGAAAAAACCTTCCAGATAGATCATCCCCAACTTCATACTGATAGACACGAATGACACGACGATATGCTATGCTAGTCAAAGAAAAGAAACCAAATAAATTCCAAAAAGAAGCAAGGACAGAGAAAAGAACACACCAAAAAAACAAGGCCACTGCAATGCAGCAGAGCTTCAAGCCAGCAACTACTCGCAGAGAACAGAAAACAAAAGCCAGTGCCATATTCAGATGCTGGTCACAAGCAGGAGAAAAAAAAAAAAGCTAGATTATTCTGGCACCATCTCAAAAGGGGAGCTGCTGAAAACAGAACCTTGGAATGAGTTAAACTACAAGCTTTGCTGAAAAACAGCACTGACTAGTTACACAAGTATGTTATCATATACTGAGAAGCAAGGGACAAGATGCCAATGGTGACTTGGAAAGGTCTATGCAAGTGTTACCAACCATCAAGTGGAGTATGGCTAGGCACAGCTATACTGCTTCCAAGTCAGTCTTCATTTTAATTCTCTGACAGCTCTCAGGACAGTCTCTCTTTTCACTAGGTTTCTTGTAATTTTAAGGTAGATATGAACTTGGCAATTCAGAACGCTAACCTGAATTCCCTTGATATCAATGGCTCTTCTCTTTATTAGTATGTCCTGGGGCACCAGAACTGGTTTAATAACGATGGTCAATAAAGGGCAGTGTCCAGCATCCATGCTTCCAAAATCTACCGAGTTCCACCCAAATACAAATAAAAGTTAGAATGATCTCTCATCAGAGAAGAGATACTGTGACACTAGAGGTTCTTTCCATTAAAGAAAACACCACAGTCATCAGAGATGAACTTCATCTTAAAGTTATGGACCTTATATTAAGAGAAGCAAGGCCCCAGCTGCAGCACACCAGACACCAAGTATGTACAAGAGGGAAGGATTTGTAGCAATATCTTAATATTGCTAAAAATCTTAATAATAAGACGAGTTGTTGAACAAGCTTTCAGTCATCAAGTGCCTTTTCTTCAGGTCTAAGAAGTATATAGCTAGGGCTACCCCTTACTGTTCTCTCCCTCTTGCTGGCCCTGCCCCAGGATAGCATTGCTGAATTAGTACAACACCATTTACACCATACTCATTTCTCCCAGTGCTGCAAATACTCACAGTGTTGCAAATGTTTTATATTCAAGGAGTGGAACAGCAGACAGAAGCTGTTTGGGGAGGGGAGGGAAGGGGTGGAGATGGAGATTCTGGCATCTGATTTGGCAGCCAGAAGACAGTTGAGATTCACGGTCTCAGGGCAAAGATGCATCTCCTCCTCCTCTACTTTTTAGCCAAGTGCAAATATAACTATGGAGTACCTCTGCAAACAGCTATCCCACAAACTGCTACCGGGTACAACTAGGGATGAGCCTCATTTTCACAGGGGGCATGCGTGTGTACATCTTTTTGTGGTTGTAAGAGACAGTCAACACTGCATTTTAAGTGTTCCAAGAGCTGCAAGCTGGGAAAGTACTGGCTGGCAAGGACAGAAGATACAACTGTTGGATGTGCTTTCACATCTCATCAGACCAAGACTAATCTTCTCATGCAGCCTCTAGTGGTAGAGAGCCACAGAGAAAACTGACATTTTTTCAGGCAGAATGGCCACTAATTTTTCCCTTTCCAGTTTTACCCAGGAGTGATGACATTTCTACAAGATTATATTTATCTACCCTACGGCCCTTTGTCCTGTGTAAGTGCATGAGACTTTCCTGCTGGTGGGGGAACACTTCCCTCTCCACCAATCCAAGCATGAAATGCTTTACCCAAATAGAAGGACTTCTACTGCAGTTCTCACAGGCAAAGCAACAACAGGAAAATTCACACAAGACAGGAAAGAAAAACACATCACTGGTAGGAAATAAAATTCAATACTAACCCATCTAGCAGATAAGTCCTGTAGAGTACGAGGGTCCAAACATCAGGCAGCAGGACAGAGAGACAGACAGTGAGAAGGAGAGACAGTAGGAGGAGTGGGGAGCAAACAACAAAAATTAGAACAATATATGTATTTCAGCATTTCTGTGAAACCGCATAGGAGCAACTTTCTGCAACTGCCCAGACACTCACGACCCAAGGGTTCTATGGGAAGTACTGTCAGCTTAACTCGTTTCTTCCGTGCCCAAGCCACGTGATGGAGATGCAGCTGAGCAGGTGTAAACCAGGGACCACGTGCAATAAATGCATACTCTTGAATTCCTTACAATTCTAAAATACTGATTTCCTCCCTGCCCCACCCCTCCCCATTTCTTGAGAGACTTTTATTATTGCCATCTCTCCTGAAGTGGGGACACTGACAGACCATTAGGTTTGCAAGGCAGAATAGCTTCTCTAGGGAAGTACCACAGATATTTAAACAGACTAAACAAACTTAAACATACATATTTGAGGAAATAGCTTTGTGCTGGGGGAACAGACCTATAAGCATTTTCCTCATTTGATCATAATTTGTTAGTCCTAGTCCATTTGGAGCAAGTATTAAGGTTAGGGGTACGCCAATAAAGATTTTTTTGGGTTGACATTGATGGTCAATACGGCTTGTTAATAATTGGCCAACACTGATCTGATATACAGCCCAGCAGCTTGGAGAGCAGCGTCTGGGCAGTAAGTTTGCTGGGGGGGAGGGAAGGAGAGTGCGTGTGTGGGGGGGCGACAAATCAAGGCTCCTGTGGTGAGGGAGGGAGTGGGGCTGGGACAGGTGCTGCCTAGCTGGGAAGGGCCTGGGGACTGAACCGTGGCTTGTCCCAGCGGGCGCAGCTCCTGCTGCTACGTGCACCCCTGGGGGAACCATAGGGGCATGTCCCCCCAGATCTGGGTGGAGCAAGGGTAGGCTACCACTGTGGCATGGGGCCTGGTGTGGTGCTGGGCTCTTCCCAGTGAGGAGTTGGCCTGGGGCTGTATTCTGGGTGGGTGGCAGTGATAGGTGGCTATGGTGATTTTTGGGGTGGTTGCAGTCCACCCCATAGTCCCCCCTCCCAGTGCCACCGCCACCTGCTTGGAGTGCAACCCCAGCCAACCCCCCCACCCCCGGAAGAGTCCAGCACCATTCCTGGCCCCAGTCTGCAGTGGCAGCTTGCCCTTGCCCCACACACACACAGATCCGGGGAAGGGGAATTCAACAAATCTCTGAATTATCTAAAAACTCAATAGTTTAAAATGCAGTATGACCACAGTACACACTATGGAAGAACAACCAACAATTCCCACCCAGCAGTGGGGCATATGTACAGTGTCTTTGGGAAATTCCTTAACAGCAGCTACTTTAAGTCAGACCATACCTGGTCTCCTGAATCCACTGGTGGAAAGCATTAGCATGTTGAGCAAACTCTTGGCGCAATTTATCATTCTCCTCCTGCCTCCTCTGTTCCTTCTGCAGTTCTAACTCACGCTCCTGAGAAATAAAAGTCATGCTTTACACTTAGAAAGTGTATGCTGCCTTTACCTTCTACTGAAATGCTTTTCCTCTTTAAAAAAAAAAACCAAAAAAACAAAAAAACTTTGCAATGCAACTCTGGGCTCCGGCATAAGGCTGAGGGCTCTCACATTCTTTTGCATATCTGCAACTTTTGCGTGTTTATAACCAGGTATAAAAATATTCTTAAGAAAATTGTGACAACTGAAGTTGTGACAATTGGAACTGCAGTGAGCTTTCCAGTTGCAATACAACAAGCCAAGTACAAACCAAGTAAATTGGCAACAGAGGACTTGAAATAATGCTAAGCGAGGACAAATCCTTCTAGCAATTTTTCTATAGTTCTAAAATGAGAGACTTCCATTTGCAATCTGTTACTGTTGTTTGTCTGGAGAAACAGGAAGAAAGAAGTCAGAGGCTGGGAGGTAACGAGAAGAAACTTGTTTCAATTACCTTGATGATTTTCTGCAAATTCCTCCAGGTCTCCTCAAGAGCCTCCATAGTGAACCAAGTGTATGGGTTGGAAGCTACACGGAAGCTCTTGATCTGGCGGTCCAGCTCAGCCAACTGGTTGAAGTCAGCCTGGGCAGAGCTAAGCGAAGAGCGGAAAGCATCATGAGCCTCTCGCAGGGCCTTGATTTCTTCCAGTGAGTTACAGCGCACAGGGTCAGTCAGGTCTTCCTCTGCATTCTCAAACCAGCTGTTAAAGGCAGATGCCTTCTTTGCAAAAGTCAGGAATAGATCCTCAACCTTGGAGAAAAAAGACCATCCGCATGTTCAATTACATGGTAATTCAAATTAAAATGGAGTCATAAGCAAAAGGATTGGCTATTAAGTATGTATAAGGGACAATACATCAATCCCATCACTTGTTTCTTTCAAAACACTTCACAAAGATGGGTGCTATCTATAAACACTGTCTATAAAATGGGGACAGTAATGCTTCTTCTCCTGACACTTCTGCCCCCAGAGACGCATGCATCCCATTGCAGGCATGATCACATGGAGAAAGCAAAAGCACCCGCCGAACACACGTGCATCTTCTGAAGGCCAGTCCTCTTTTAGGAGGCAAAGGCTTTCTCTAGTAGCTGTTCTGGGCGGTTGCAGCACTAGGAGACAAGGGTACTCTTATCTTCCGAAGCCCAGGAGAACTTGTGTCACTGGTTTCCTGCTCATTTTTGTCTGGGGAAGGGGGTACTTTTGTTGCAGTGGGAGCAGGAAAAATAGGATGAGGATGGCTGGGGCTAGTAGTGAACAAAAATCAAAGCAAAACCTATCCAAAGCTGTGTATTCAACAGTGTGAGATATCACACATACCGTCTCTCTCATCTATTTAGCCTGAAAGCTCTTCAGGCCAGGAACTACTTCATACTGAATCAGTATAGAAGTTGGGCTGATTTTGAACAGAGCCTTAAGATACTACCTTCACACAAATTATTCAAAGCAAGAAGGGATCACAGGCACAGAGAGCTTGAGTAATCTGCTCAGGAACACAAGAAACCAGCCAGCAGCAGAGCTAGGAATAGACTCCAAAACTCTAGACTCCCAGGGTACTTTTACATGTGTTCCAATGCATTCTGATTAATCAAGTCTCCTGGAGTGTTTCAATCAAAACGCTCCAGTGTGCTGCAGTGTCTTGTGTATTCAGCATCCAAGCATTTCAAAATGGCAGCAGGATGCTTTAACTAACACTCAAACTCTGTTTGAGAGTCAGAAATGCCCCCACTGCCATTTTGAAACATGAGACACTGAAAACACGAGATGCTGCAGGCGTTTTAATTAAGAGTGCCTCCTGGGAGACACTCTAACTTAAAGAAACTCCCCCCCCACCCCTTAGTATCTCCAAAGCATCTGTACGAAGGGAAAATGCTAATCTTCCAACAGACTATCAGTTAAGCACACACGTGACACTGAAGCTGCAAAGGTGCTCATGACCTAGAAAGCGCTTGATTCAGACTAGTCTGCTGAGAACCTTTTCATGAAAGCTTCTCATAAGGAAATGTTTGGCCTCTGCCACATAGCTGTGCTTTTATAAAGCTTGCATATTAATTACTTTAAAACAAATAAATGCATCAGTGCCGTATGTGAGTGTCAAGCTTCACAGAGCTTTAAGTTATTACCACCCCTGTTTGTGATGGTCCCCAGGTCTATGCACTCACCTTTCTGAAGTGCTCCTGAGCCTCCAGGAGTTTCTTCTTCCGGGCAGCAGAGTTGGCCAGCAGCTGGTTCCAGCGTTTCATCAGAGAAGCATGTCGGACCTCAATGGCCTTTGACTGGATGTGTTTGGCTGCCAGTAGCTGGTCTTTCAGTGCAGTGATATTTGCAATTCCTTCCTGCTGGAAAGCCTGAAGACCAGCATCAAAAGTTTCCTGCAACATTAGAGAGGAACAAGCAAGTTTAACCGTATTACTGGATGTATGAACAAGAATATAAAGAACAAGGAAAAATAAAAGATAAGCACTCAGACATTCTTCTGTCTTATTAAGTAGTAAGTTCCCTCTCCTCTGAACAGAGATGCTTGGCGCACTGACCTGCTTGGTGAGGAGTGTTTGCACAGAGGAGAGATCTCGCCCATAGTCATCTGTTTTCAGACTGTTTTCCTTCTCACCTAGATAATGAAGCACAGACTAAATGTAAATACACAGGCATTTTTCCCCAAGCACACGGTGATAAAGAACATTGTCTTGTCCAGGTTAACTTGCAGTCTTCATGCTTACTTACTATTTTCTCCTCTATGTAGGAAATCAGGGAAGGGGCCTTGGGCATATAGAAACGGTCACCCAAATAGCACAAAACCAAGGCAGATACTTGATTACTTTGAAGATCACAGGTATGGACTACCACCCACCCCATGTCTGCCTATTCAAACAGTAAGTTTGAATATTTTGCTCTATTTGTATGAAAGGGTGTTTTCCAGTCTCCTGATCTGTCAGCAACCAAGTAAAGCACAATACCTATCCAGGACTCCACAACATCGGCCTTCCAGTTGAACTGAAGGAAGGCAGAATTCTCATCCAGCTTGGCCTTCCTTTGAGCTGCTGCCTTCTCTAGATCTGACACTTTGTCCCTCAGGCCTTTCATCTTGGCTGTGATGTTCTCTTCATGGTGATTGTTCTGTAGGACAGGAGAAAAACAGTTCAGTTCCTGTGTGACCTAAATGTCTTCCACATACCACTGGGAGAAACTTACTTCTTTTCACTATCTTAAGAAGAAATGTTCTTGGAGATACAGGCATATGAAGGACAGCTTAAGATGCTTGTGAGATGAAGCTAGGAGCTTCAAAGGCACAATCCTAGCCAGGAAAACCTCTTTTACAAATGAGAATAAATCCTGCACATTTACTCACAACAGTTCACTGGCTCCAAGAGCAAGGGAACAGATCTGCTTGGTATGCTAATATGGTGGCCTCATTTTATTCCAAACATGCCCCCAAAAAGTGAGAGAAATCAAGAAAGTAAATGCAGTGTCTTGCTTGTTCTTCAGTTGTCAGGCTATGAGAAAACTCTGAGAAATGAATGTACAGCAAAAAAGAAAATATGGGGTTGCTAACAGTCATTTTAAGGTTTTCAAGGGAAATTCTACCTCAGTAAGATTTCTGTGAAGTATAAACAAACAGGATGAGAGAACCATTAAAGGCAACAGCAAAAGGACTCAGTAGTATGTAAATAGACACCGCCAAAGGTCTCAGTCCAAGATAGGTGGATTACTGGTCTGCTCTTCAAAAACCCAAGCATAAGAATCCACCAGAAGGGAGAAACAGGAGTAAGTGACTTGCCCAAGACAGCCAGCAAGTTGGGGAGAGAGCTAGAATTAGAAACAAGGGGTTCCCCTTTTCTCAGTCCATCAAGCCCTCTTCAAAAATAATTCCTTTTAAATGATCAACCAAATGTACCTTTTTAAGCAAGATACACCACCACATACAGATGGTGTTAAACAACAACCCAAAATCTTTCTAATCAGTGTCAAGCTGACAGTGATTATTTCAACAAGCGGAAGCTTTGGAGAGCCTTTGAGCTACTTTCCTTTCCAAATTCAACTCACCTTCTTAATGAGGTCTTCTCCATTAGCACAAACATCATTTACTCTGTCCTTGTGCACAGTGAAGTCGGTTTCAAATGCTTCATGCTTTTTTAGCAATCCCTGCAGGGAAAGCATGTTTGTAAATCACTTTTCTAAATAACTATTTCTCAGATAATGCCTTACAAAAAGATGGATTATTATTAGTCTAATACACCAATGACTGATACATTCTCTCCTACAAAGTATATTAGTCTTTGCATTCAAGGACTAATATCTAACCCCTGATCCACCTTGAAAAGTAAATAAGTATAAATTAGCAATTCTAATCTAGTTTCTTTCATTCATTCCCCCCCCAACTCTGCCCTTCCAAACAAGCTCTTCTCTACAAAGTCCAGCAAAGATATCAGCTTGCAGATCTAATTTACCTGGAAATTACTTAGCTCCCCATCCTACACAAACACTTCCAGAGAAATGTAATTGTAAAGTACATGGCAGACCCATTGACTTAAATAAGACTCCTTACACATTCAAGTTAACCAGGCATGTACCTGCTTGCAAGATCAGGGTCTTAAAACAGATGAATGCTATGAAGTGAAAGCCATTCTGTTTCCCTCAACTATCGATGGCCTCTTCACTGGAAAGGGTCTCATTAAAATGTAACTGATAAAGGGGGCTATAAGCCTGAAATCCTTAAGTTGGCTCTTTCCCAGGCCAGTTTTCCAGCACCCCTAAAAGCAGTCTGATTGAATTAGGGCTCCGTACCAGTTACCCAAAACTTACAAGTTCCTTCCAAGGGCTGAAATCGAATTGTTTTAATTCTTTTCACAAAAGATTTGTGATCTCTGCAGAATATACTACTTGAAAATGAACTGACAATATCTCTGACTGGAAAAATAAAGCATGGAAGGATCCATTAAATTACAACCCATGTGTGTCCTGAATAGCATATGCCAGCAAGAGAAGTGCAGCCTCTTGCTCACCTGGATAGCAGCAAGTGTGTCTCCATAGTCTTCGCTGGCTACCAGTGTCATTTTCTCATTAATCCAGGCTTCTTCTTCCTCAACGTTGGCCACAAATTGCTGGTACTCCAGAGACTCTTCTAGACGTTGGCCACTGTTATAAGGAAATAATAAAGAAAAAAAAAAAATCAGAGACTATCTACTGCACTTTTAGTTATGAGAGAAAAGAACTGCTAGTTTAGACAAACTGGACATTAGTACGAAGACCAACAATACCTGCTCACTACCCTCAACCTTTTCTGTGTGCTAATTCACACCACCTTCTTTCTACAGAAGCTAAGAGCACTTACACACGTGTGGGGAGCCTGCTCTGACGTGCTGGAAATCTAGCGCGTCAGAGCAGACTTGATGAATTGAGTCTGCTGGAGCACATAAATTGTTGCGCCCTGGCAGTCTTGTGCGTCACATGCACCAGCGGTGCAGCACATCTCCGCTGCTGAGAAAATGGCAGCGCTCCGAAATAAAATACGTTCAATGTGCTTTAGTTCAAAGAAGGGCTGTGTGACGCTTCGGTCCCCAATTCGATTTGGCAGAGATTCAGCCCAATTCAATGGTCAAATCTCCGAATCGAAATTGGAGAACCCTTGAATCTCTCCAAATAGAAATTGGAACCCTCCGAATCGATTCAGACAGACACAGCTTTAAATATTTTTTCTGCATACTTCTAGGTAGCAGGCAACTCATGAATGCTGCGATGCCAGGGCACACGGAGCATCCCAGAGGAGCATGGGGGGCTTCCCAGCGCGCTCGGCAGCACACCCAGAAGTGGGCCAGAAGCACTTCCGGTTCACTTTTGGGTCCACCAGGGAGCACACTGGGTCCCCCGCCTTGGTTTGGTGACTGGCACCTCCTGGGTCTGTGGGGCACCCAGGGTCCCCCCACGGCCAATCACCAAGCTGGGGAGGCGCAGGGGGGCCCCCCCACGTGATCCCCAGCAGACCCAGAAGTGCTTCTGGTCCACTTCTTGGTTCGCTGCCGAGCATGTGGAGGGCTCCCCTGCACTCCTGTGGGACACTCCATTGGTGCAATGCTGGAGCACTTCACAAGCTGTGCTGGTACCTCGAAGTATGTCGAAAATACATTTGAAGCTGTGTCTGTCCGAACTGCTGATTTTCTGAATCAGCATCAAATCTTCAGATTTGGATTTGGCCAAATCAGGGACAGTGATCCGAATCAACGAATCGAATTACTGTTCCCGATTTGGGCCAAATCCCAATTGAATAGGGCCCACTTCACGCAACCCTAGTTCAGAGCGCTCCACCACCATTTTCTCAACATGCAGACATGCTGTGCAGCTGATACACATGATGCACGGGCACTTTTAATTAGCACAGCTCACTAATTAAAAGTGCCCAGTGCTGCGTCAGAAACGCATGTAAAAATGCCATAAGAATGGCTCTGTCACTGCCAGTTCTTTATTGACTGTAATTTAATTTGCCACATATTTAAAAATTAGACTATTTCCTCCTGATAGGGTCTAGTCAGGAAAACAACATGCCAGGGATCACAGCCAATTAATTTTAAGCCTCTGACCACTGTAAATGGAGAAAGAATGAAGCCCCCCAGAATTTACTATATAGGACTTGTGTTTGTTACCAGGGAACACATACTAGAGTTTTTACTGAGGAATGTTAAGGCTGAACTTTTTCACAAGCTCCTGTCCCGGCCCCCATGGAATGCATTATTAACATTTATTGCGCACACATAGCTGCACACAGTGCCCAGGATTTAGCAAATCTGGATGCATGCCCCTATATTGTTGTATTTATACTACCTGTCCAGGAGGGCTGGTTCTCACTCACCGTGCAGATGCCAGCTGCTTTAACTCCTTCCAGTGCTCCACAAATTGAGCCAGTCTCTGCTGTATCTCCTCCTTTCCAATTGTGTTATCATCTGACAGTTTCTTCCCAGTGTCCAGTACACCCTGAAAAACAAACAAACATACGCTGAAGTCTGTGTCCAACAGCAGATCTGCAGTTATTCTATGCTCAGATAATTTATGATACTTTTGAACCATTTTCTTTTGTTAACAAGGACTTTGCGGGCTTGGAACCCAGAACAGAAATGCTGCTCCTTGACGAGCAAATAACTTCTGGTCACTTCTATAAAGTCTGACTCTGTTTTGCTGTGTAATCAACACCTGGTAGTGTTAAAAATCTGCAACCCAACTACATAGCATACCACACTCACGCTATAGTGTACCAACCGTGAGCACTAATCCCTCACAGGGCACTTCCCCACCCCCCCCTTACGCTGTCTATAGCAGATATGATTCAAGGAAAACATCATCAGTATCATCTATGGAATGCTGCCCCCTCTGACTGGCTTTTTTACCTGGATGGCAGGCTCATGAGCAGCCAGTTCTGCTTCCAGACGTTTGTGTTTCTTCCTTAGGTTCTGCACTCCAGTAAGGTCTCTGCCATAGTCCTCTGAGCTAACCAGCAGTTTCTTTTCCCTGAGTTCCAGGGGGAGACAGAAAAAGACAATCGGTTTATATCTCCTCTAAAAATGAAAAACAACATCCACTCCTCAGATTTTAAAAGTCTTCCATCCAGTGTCCGATACATTTTTAAAGCTTAACCCCCACTCCTCTTCCCAATTTGGACCCTCTCTCTGAGGCTGCCTCCTCAAACACCAAAGAGTGGGAATCAGCCCAACCATTTTTGCTATTTCCTTGATTATGCACCAACCAAATCAGCCTCTACAGAGACATCTCTGGAAAGAATATTTGATTAATTATAGCCAGAGGCCAAACTAGCAGAAATCCTTTCAGCTGTCTCACAAACATCATTTTGACTTGATACAGAAGGACAGTTCATTCATAGGATTTGTAGGAACTTTTCCATAAGAATAAGTCAAACTTCAGTAATTAAATCCCAGTTACATGAAACTGTTTTCCCAGAACTGGATGATTTCTGAGGCTTGACTGTAGGTATCTGTAGATATTACAGCCATGCCTACACTAGAGTTAAAGCCATTTTTGATACTTTCTCTGCCAACACTGATCGGAGAGAAGCATGTATAAGATGCATTATAAAGATTTACTGTATGCTGTCTAGGGAGGTAATCATGCAGGTGTGGAATATCCCGGAAGTTTATGGCCCAGTTTGGATAATAGAGTTATCCTGGAAGACTAATTTTGTACACTACAAGAGAAACTATGCTGACAGTGCTATTAAACAACCATGCTTAAATATATCACTTTTGTAAGCATGGCAGTAATATGGGCCCGACCCCAGACAACACTACACCTAGCATGTCTGAAGAACATACTTGATCCAGGACTCCTCATCATCCATATCCCGGAAGAACTGATGCAAACGGTGGGACTCATTTAGTTTTGCACGCCGGGCTGCTGCCATACTCTTGATCCGCTGGAAGCGTTCATTAATGGTGTCACGCTTGTCCTTCACCTGGGAAGTGTCGAAAGCGCTGCTGGTCATCAAGCTGTCAGCTTGGCCATTCAGGTCCTTCAAGCGATCCTGGGAACACAAACGAGGAGTGAGCAAAGAATGAGCATTGCAAGTGTGAAATCTTGGCACAGAATCAAATGTAATGTGGTTCCTTTGCAGATTTCATGATGTAGTCATAGAAACTGCATTTCAACAGGTTTAAACTTCACAGCACATCTTCATGCATGACTGACTTCACCAGTTATTACAACTTCTCTTTGTAAATAAAGACAGGAGGTGCTTACTTCATGGGCAGATATATCAGCTTCCAGCAGTTGGTGTTTCTTCAGAAGGTTGTTCACGGATGCCAGGTCCTTCCCATAGTCTTCAGATGCAAGCAGGGCTTCCACCTGGGAAACAGACAGACAGTTACAGACTGAAGCTCTGCAAGACCTTGAAAACGTAATGCTCTTACATGTGAACTGTTCTCTTCTTCTCCATCTTCCCAAGTATAGATTAAGGCCATCAACTTTGTCTCCGTACAGACATCAAACATTTCCTTTCCTCTATGCTTGGGATAGCGCCTGCACTGGCAAAACTTCCCAACCACTTGCTTTCTATCAAGAATTCTGTATTAAAGGACTGCTTTTGCTGATGATACCTTAACTCTGCCATATTCTAGGATGCCCCCCCATGTCACAAGAGGGAGCCCAAATTAGAGAAACTGCAGTCTCTTAGAATAATTCCCCATCCCAAGTTGTCAGCTACCTCTGAAAGCCAGAAATCAAAGTCTTTGATTCCAGTATTGAAATTCTGCTGTTTGTTGGCTTCTTTCAGCTTTTGGCTCTTCTCTGCCGATTTCTGCACCAGGAATTGCCACTGGTCAGCCAGAGCAGCTAGGCGCACCTGTTACAAGGAGAAAAAGGTAAACAGGAGTAGAACAAAATCCCTAGGAAGTGCAGCACAGGAACAAGGTAAAAGTCTGATGGCCACTTCCCCACCTGTACAACATACAGTCACTATTTCCTGCTGTTTAGTAAACAGACCACATTTTACTGTTATGTCTTCAGTATCAGAAAACATTACACTTCCCCAAGCAAAAAACAAAATAGTTCTTATGCTTCCTACTGTATTATGAAAATAATAAAAAACATCTAGGAAAGGCAATTGCTTCCTTTTCTCTAACAGAATGCAAGTGCAGAAGCAATTCAGGGCTAGGAATAACTAACTGTCTTGTATTTGCTACACTTACCTTTACTGCATCTTCACTGCCAGCACACGCTCCCCGATCGATCAAAGAATTCCCCATGTCAATGACTCCACGGATCCGGTCTGCATTAGCATGAAGTTCAGCTTCGAAGGCCTGATGTTTCTGGTGTTTGCTCTGAACACAGCAGAAACAAAGTTATTAATGACTGCATTTTGGGCTCCTAAATTATTCTCATGGGCTGAGAAGAGAATGGAAAGGTTCTCCGTGGGTCTGAGGTAAAGGAATTTATGGGTCATCTGATCTGGTGAAATACCAAATGCCCAAAGCAAAATTATAGAAACCCAATGCCATCCAGGCATTTGTAGTGCATTTATCATTGCTTATTCAAGTGATTTATTCCCAATTACTGGAACTCAGATCCGTCCATTTAACTGGTGGGCATCAGGCTGCCTCTAACCAAGCATATTTATTCGTGGGTAGATACGTATAATACTGTTTCTGCTTGAGAATATTTCTCCAACATTAACAGGAGGCTGTTAACCCATTTCCAATTTTGAAGTTCAGCTGTCCTCCAACTACAGATTTCTGATTTATGCGACACTTCTACAATACACTCACTGTATCTGTACATACCCTAATATAACAGCTCAGATCGTAATCAGTTTTGTGGGTTGCATGACTTCTCCCATCCTAATCTGCAAGTCAGAAAGAAAACTCACTACTCTACCTGACCCTTTTCTGGACAGATTGATATCAAGGCTCTAATACAATTTGTGTACTAAAATGCCAAGGTAAAATAGCTGAGCTACATCTGACTGTTTAACAGAGTGCCAGGTCACATGCTGAAATTTGTCTTCATTGAGAACTGAGGGCACCATGAGAATAATAGGAGCCATACAAGAGTAAGTGTGCATTTTTCCTTGATATACATGCACAGACCCATCAAAAGCATAAACAAAGGGACAAGACAGTATTTACACATAATCAACTTAAAGTGCTAGTAACACTGGAGACATGGGGATATGCACTACCCTGGGGGAGAATGAAATGCAAGGAGAATGTTAAGAGAAAATAAAACATGGAAAACTACAGCACGGTCATGAGAAATTCTGCATGAACTGCTTTATTCTGGAAACGGATAGTTCTGAGTAGTGTGATTAAAATCAGTTAAATCCCAGGAATTTAATAACATTTGAACTCAGTATGCTGGGAAAAAACACTGCTTCCCCCCATTCTTTCTAATGGGGGAATATCAGCCTAATTATCACAAAAATAAACCCATCCTCCAGGGAAGGGTCACCTTTGTTCTTTTTGAGAAATCATAGAAAAAATTAAAATTTAGTGGAGCCTCTAATGCCTAAGATACAAACAATGCTTCCTTCACTCCTGCTCCCCCCACACAATCAATCCTCCTCCTCTTTCCTTTGTGCCATTTTCTTCCTCCATTTGCAATCTTCCCTTTATATCTTCCACCATGCTGGCCCTGTGGGTGTGCGGCCACATGGGATTCCCATTTTTAGTGACACTTCTCATTCCTAAGAATTTTGACTCAAAGCCCAAGCTTGTGGAGCAGGGAACCCCATTCTAATTCCACAGAGTATGAAGACAAATACAACAGCTAAGTTCCCGAAAAAGGAGGAGGATACCATCCACACTTTACTCTATCAGCTACTTAACAAAGAAACTAACAAACAATGCAGCATGAATCAAACAGACCATGCAGAATGCACCTGCAAAACTAAACACAGGTGCTTCAGAGGAATAAACAAAAAAAGCCACATCCAAGAACACAGTGCCCAGTAACTACACCTGAATGGAAGCCAATGACTATTAGAAAATGGGAAAGAGGCTGGATGAATGGATGGATGGAGCAACAGACTGCAGCCAGACCATGTCCTCACACAATCTATGCAGGGGGGAAAAAAAAAACAAAAACAAAAACAAAACAAAACAACCCCCCAAAAACACATACTACAGCTAGTCCAAACTACAAAACTTACCAACAGTTTGGAAAGCTACAAAACAGATTGAGAAGAGAAGCAAAGTTCAGTGCATTTACATTTGTCCACAAACCAGTATTAAAAACAAAAAAACCACAGAAAATTACTTCAAGAGCCTTCCTCTAATACAGAAACATGAAGAGCGGCATTTCATAACAGTAAACAAACCTGGGACCTAAGAGACATCTATCAAAGAAGAATAGTCATTTTATTATCTGGATCTGGGGGGGGAAGATGGAAAGAAAGGACAGGAAAGCTGTCTAGGGACTTATGCAATTTCAGATCATTTGTGAATATTTTATTAACTATACGCATAAAAAACTTAATTACTGATTTCTGTTTTGGGCTGTTCCCCATGTATAATTCATGCTTTACCTTCCACTTCTGAGGAGGGAGGTGCATGCCAAATATGTTCTGTTATCCTCTTATAACACAACTGGGATTTCTCTGGGTACATTATATCATCAACAAAATAAACTATAGTGGAGTGAAAGCCTTCACTCCACTTAAACTTTCCTGGGCTGAAAAAATTATTCACCTGGATATTTGTGGGATCCTTGTATGATTCATCACTTGCAGTTTGGAGCTTTTCACTGATCCAGGCCTCTATTTCATCAACATCACGGCTGAACTGCTGGAGGGTCTGAGATTCTCCCAGCTTAGACCTCTTCTCAATCATCTGGGCCTTCAGGCGACGCCACCTGTACAGAAGCATATCAACAGTTGATGCACATCTATGCCCTGAAAACAGGTATGAGACAGGAGATTGCATGCAATCCTAAACGCCACCTCCAAAGAATTACCCAATTTCAGCTAGTATCTGAAACACATTATCAAGACTATGAGTGCACAAACCTGTCCAGAACCTCATCACGTCTGTTAGAAATAACACCTTTCGCATAGTGGTCCGCAGAAATCAGTTGGTCAGCAAAAGCCTGAAGAGCAGCAATTTTTTCTTCCTGCATAAAAGAGCCACAGAAGTTAGAATGAGTCCAGTATCTCCAAAAATCAAAAAGCCAATGTGAACAGCTGTGTAAGAACAAAAGGGGATTTTTTTCTAAAAAAGAGAAGGAAAGTGCTCTTACAACTAGTAAGTCCTACAAGGAAGTCAGGTTTATGTCAGGACTAGCACAGAACTCCACTTGGGAACAAGTGGGAAATCCTGCAGACCAACAGGAACAAGGTGAAGAGACTTTTGTTCCCTGTGCCAGACCAGTATAAGATTTCTTTTAAAGAGCAGAAAGGGATCTTTTAGGGTAGGGAAATAGAAGGAACATTGCTTTTTTCAAGCATATGGGATTTTCATTGCAAACTTTTAAAATAAATGCTTGTGATTTCATTGCGTCATATTCATAACCAATGGGTAGCATACTTCCTTCTCAGCATTAACTTTAGCTGTTGCTAATCTGCTAAATATTTACAACAGATCTTTAGAGGCTTCTAAACTTCAGATTCACGTCCCCAAGATGTGAATCTGTGACTTGTCTCTGTGACCTTCAATTTTTGTTCTTGAAGGCTGTATGAAAATAAATTAAGTCTGCCCCTCACCTGGACATTGATTGCTTTATCAAAGTCCTCGTGTTTCTTGATGAGAGCCTCAACACTGTCTAAAGTGTCACCTTTATCTTCTGTGTTCAGGAAAGCCTCACGGGCAGCCATCCAGTTTTCAGCCTGTTCACAGTCCCGATGAAACAGCTAAGGAGAAAAAAAAAAAAACAACACAGGTATGAAAGGAATCCAGTTATCACTGCTCACATGTCTGAAAAGAGAAATTTCTTTAAGAAAGGAAGCTCTCTTATGTAGCAGAGTACCTGTAATTCTAGACACTGGTCCAACATCATTCTGCGCTGGACCCAGGCTTTCTCCAGGTCTGCCCGTTCCTGATCCAGAATATCCAGTTTCTCCTTAATCTCTGGACTGGCATAGTGCCCGCGAGCCAAGAGTTGTTGACCAAATTGTTCAAATGCCTGGAAAGTGCCAGCCCTGGCGTCTATTTCAGTGCGATGTTCCTATACAGAAGGGAAAGAAGTTTATTGCTGAATCGTCATCAATCTGTTCTTGCCAAATTAAATGGAAGTTAAAAAAAAAAACAAAAACAAGAACAACTTCTCCCACTGAACTGAATTACTACAGTGCAATTGAAACTGCCTTCAGGAGAAGAAGGCTTAAGATCTTCTACATACCTGGTGCCTTTCCAGCAGAGCCTCAGCTCCTGTCACATCCTTTGCCAGTTCATCTGAGGACACCAAGCCCCGGATTCCATTAATCCAAGACATGAGGTCCCTGCAAACACGCAAAGAGAAATACTTGAGGCTTTTTGCAGGAAAATGAGCTCTTCTTCACTGCCTCAGCAGATGGTCACCCTAAGTCCTGTGTACATCACTGATGTTTAACACAGTGAGGATTAGGGATTTTATCCTACCCAGTGTTTACCTGAAGTCACTGAGGAAACGCTGGAGATCATGAGAGTCCCCAAGCTTCTCTTTGCGCTGATCAGCACGTTTTCCCAGGCTGCTCCAGGCCTGGTTCAACTCAGTACACTTTTCTTGAAGGTCTTCGGCAGACTCCGGGTGTGACTGGATTAGGCGCTGTGCAGTCTCTCCAAGAGAGTTGACCTGGAGATCAAAGAAGAGGATTGAGGACAAAGATGGCAGGAGCCTCCTCTGGAGTTCATGCATCACTATGAGATAAAGGAAATAACCCAACATGTTTTTCCCATTCTTGGGCTCACCTTGTCTCCAAGAGCTGCCAGGTCTCTCTCAAAACCTTCATGTTTGCGCTGCAGGGCCTGCACACTGGCCAGATCATGTCCATAGTTGTCTGTATTTAATGCCTGATTCTTCTCTTCAATCCATTCCTTAGTTTCATCGGCATCTCTGGTTGCAGGAAGGGGAGAAAAAAAATACTATGAAGCTCATGCTAAATCTTTTTATCAAACTCCAAACAGCTTATTTCCTAAGAATGTGAGTGTCTATGAAATGGTTTCTTTGTCAGTTTTGAAGCAGACCTAAATCTCTCAGAAGTAAGAAAATGTTAGTGTAATTTAATGAGCAGAATTTGTGCTATTTTTGAGGATTGTAGAGCTTATATTACCCATCATATCAACTACTGTGGCGAGCAGAAAATTATTGCCCTCATTTAAAAAAATAAAAATAAAAAAAATGGGGAAACCTAAGCCAAAAGGTTTAAATGGTTTCCTAAAATCATACAGCCAATCTCTGGCAGAAGTGGGAAAATAATCCGGATCTCTAACATCACAACTCTAGTACTCCTGTATTTCATTAGACTAACCTCTTCCTCCCAAGTGACAGCAAAATAATAGGCAAAATTCTTCTTTTAACATCCTTTGTTTAGACTGAGGTATGAGCTTGGGAAAGGAGTGACAATGGTGGAGAATGTTGCACAAGAAATTATTAATCATGTTTATTGCAGTAGGGGCTAAATGACAACCAAGAATAGACCTCCATTGTGCAGGCACCTTACACACACACACACACACACACACACACACAGTTGGTTTGGAAGTGTTGTAGCAACAGGGGTGGTGGGGGGAAGAAAAAGAGCAGATGCTGTACACTGAATAGGCAAAAGATTCAGTACACAAAAAATTTCAAATGTTTATAAGGTTGCTGTCATACTGTATTCAACTTCCAAAGAACTGAACGGAGGTGCTAGATCCGTGTGGCAGCCAGTGACCAAAGGATTGGGGAGACAGAGGAAAGAGAGAGGCAGTTCATGAGAATAGAAAAGGCACAACCTGGCAAGAGCACTGGCTGGTCTTGAAAGGGTTATATTCTCAAGATAAAGGTTTAAAGCAACATCTACACTATTTTACAACCCTACAACAAGCTTCCTTGCTGCTAACAATGTGCCAGTACCACAAGACGACTCAGTCAACAATGAAGTCAAAGAGAGTCATCTTAGTAATTTAAAATATTAATACAAACCACAGGTTAGAGAACTATTCTTTGCCATGGGTTTTGTTTAACTTCTTTCGAAGGAGATGGGAGTTGAACAGCATCCACATGAGCTGCCACATTTTAAAATTACAATAAATAAATTTCACATGAAGCCTAGGACAAACATTACACGTGGCACCTATCCCTAACTTGTTACTTGCTGCGTCCAGGTAGTGGGTCTTACCTGTGGAATCGCTGAACTTCATGGGCACTGCCCAGCAGCTGGCTTCGCTCTTCTGCTAGTTGCTGCAGAGATCTCCAGCGCTCATTCAGCTCCTATAGGGACAACAGAAACCCCAACATCACACTTGTTTGTTTTATTTATTACTTGTTTACAAAGAAAAATCTACCCCTTCCAGCTACCAAGCTAACTGGCATGGCTTTGTGACAGATATGGCAAGCACAATAAAGGTCTCTAAAGAAAACAGTCCCTCTATACAGCTATTCTTCAACAAGGCAAAACCCAGGTTGCAACAATGGTTTTCCAACTGTTCTGTTCTACAGACTTTTGTAGAAACAGTCGCTTGTGCCTCCAACCATGCTTTATAACACTCCCTCTCCCCTTAGAGCCCCTCGAGGTTTTATGTTACAGACATGATGGCAAGGCCTGTGGAACACTGGCAGTCCATGGACAAGAGTTATAATACCACTGCTTTAAAAAGAGTTTAGTAGACTTTTGGAAGTCTTGCTAAAATAGCTGCAATTCAGGATATATAAGCCAACTGCTTGGAGAATGATGGGAGTTACGAAAAGAGCCAAGAGAAAGACTACAGGGATCTTCAAACATGGCTGAAGCCTGTTAATTGCGAGCTGTCCATGCACATAACAAGAATCCTATTTCGCTGCTTTGATTACAGAAGCAAGCATTGATTCAAGGATCCTACATAGGTAACAGCAAACTATTAGTATTTCTCCTGGGGTTAAAAAAAAAAAAAAAAAAAAAAAATCACTCTGTAGTGCACATAGTTAAATAAGATACCAGTGTATAGGTGAGAAGATGTTATCAGCAAAGATCCACGTTTTCTGTTCGCCACAGAAAAACCTAGATTTTCTCCTTTTCAGGAGAAAAACCATAGGAAATGGTAAGTTTCCCTTCACAGGCTAGCAGAGTTCCAGTCTGCAAGAGGCTGGGGGGAGCGAGAGGAGGGCAGTCAGGCAGGGGGTGCCCTGTGCATGTGTACACATACGTGTGCACATGGCAGCCAGGCAGTGTGGAGAGCAGCTCCCTGCAGGTAAGTGGGTTAGAATCGAGGCCTGCATAGGAAGGGACGGAGGGAGGGAGTTGGGGAGGGCTAGGAATGGGGCTGGCTATAAGTCAGCCCTTTTCTTAATGTGTAGTGAGAAGGTTAAAGGGCAATGGAATATGAAGATACAAAGAGGCACACAGATGTAAGCGATAAAAGAAAGCTATTACTTTTCATTGGATTTGAACAGCAGCTGGCTTACCTTGATGGAATTAAAGGTAGCCACTGTGTGTACCATCAGACGGGCAGACTGCATGAAGAAGAGGCAGAAATAAAAAGGTACCAGTTAAATTAATTTACTAACAAAATCGGCACCATAACTGCACTCCTTACGCTAGCAGAACTCCTTACACACACCAACAATTTAGCTTTGGTCAAACATCTGGGTTTTGTAAAATAGGATTTTACAAAATGGAAAGTGATTGTAATATGCCGATTTTATAAACCTCAGTGAGAACTGTTATATTTAAAAAGTTTCTTCAGAAGTGTCCAACATGGACAGCTGCTTTCTGTATTTCAAAACAGAAGTGAATGCTGGAAATTAAATCAGTTATAATAGCTTAAAAGGCTAAAGAAGTGTATGTGTATTAATATTATGTGCAAGATATTTATTTAAAAAAATCATTTATCGGGGATGATATTTTCGACAGATTTAACTGTTTAGCAAAATCATCCTAGCCTGTAATCAATATTGTTAAAAACCTAAAACAGTATTTGAGGCTAGTGCAAAAGAAAAAAAACCAACCAAAAAACAAAACAACCCCCTCCCCTCCCCCCCCAAATAAATTGGAAGCATGATGCTTAAACACT